AGTCACAGACTATTCTGTAATATACATTAAATGTTTAAATTGTTTGCCATTTTCTTCTAAACACTCGTTTGACTTTATGACCTTTTAATATTCCTTGGTACAATTACATTTTCTTTGATATTTGCAAATTATGATGTGATGGTCTTCTTTAGATTGTCTGACCTGATGGGGCCTGACAAGTTATACCTTGTGTGTGCGTATATATATTTCTTTTTATAAAAGGAAAAGTAGGTTCATACATTTTTTTTCTTATTGCTTTTCCTCCAAGACAAATTCGTGACACCATAAATTGGATCTTCAGTGAGCCAATGCTTGTTTACTATGTCAATATATTTCGAGATGCATTTTGGCCAAATGGGAAACTGGCATCCAGCACAAAGCCTACAAGTGAACAGCAAAGTAAAGAAACAAAACAGAAAGCACAGCAGAAACTACTTGAAAACATTCCAGGTGGGATATTCTGACATTATTTCAAAATTACAACATTATTCTTTTGCTTCAAAATTTTATTAAGATAAACTGTTGAGTTCATCAGGATATAAAATATAAAAGAAAATGAAAGTAGTGAGAAAATGTGGGAGGAAAAGGGAAAGGGGAAAAGTGTAGGGAAAAAGGGAAAAAGAAAAAAACATTGACTTCCAACTCTTTATGAGTGCAGTAGAATAAGATAACAATATTGCAGTCTCAACTTGTTACTTTCACATGCTAGCATATACTGTATGTTCTTTGGACAGTAGAAGTTAAATCTGATAAACCTGTTTAAGTAAATATTCCCCTTGGTTATCTAACAGCAATAGCTATAGCACTTAAGACTTATATACCACTTCATAGTGCTTTACAGACCTCTCTAGCAGTTTAGAGAATCAGCATATTGCTCCCAACAATCTGGGTCCTCATTTTACTGACCTCAGAAGGATGGAAGGCTGACTCAACCTTGAGCCGATCAGGATCGAACTGCTGGCTGTCAGCAGAGTTAGCCTGCAATACTGCATTCTAACCACTGCGCTACAATGGCTCTTCCATGGTATTGGACTTCAGAGTGAGGAGAAATAATTTAGATGACAGAGTACAGGAACTAGAGATAATTGGACTTCCATCATTCCTTTTATTCTATTATAGTACTTAGACGTACTATTTTGTTGGCACTGCACCCAGCTTGGATCTTTATATAATTACCTTACTGTGGATATGTTTCTATTTCATTATACCCTACGTTATACACTAATTATATTTCTTCATAAATGGTTGAAAGTATTAAAAACAAAGTCAATCTTTTTTTAAAAAAATGCTTTTTTCAGACACTCTCCAAAATCTTGTTGGACAGCAAAATGCTCGCCATGGTGTAATCAAAGTGTTCAGTGCACTACAAGAAACCAAGGCCAATAAGCATCTTCTTTATGTGAGTTTAACTCAGACTGTGGGGTTGCTTGTTATTTAAAACTGATCTTTTCTCAGATCTTAGAACAGGGGTGTCAAACTCAATTTTTGAGGGCTGCATCAGGGTTGTGTTTGATCTTGTGGGGGGCTGGGGTGTAGGCATGACTATGTGGGTGTGGCTGGGGTGGGCATGGCCAGCTTAACCAGGCTCTATTTTCGGCCGTAACAGCCTACTGCAGCCCTCTGCCAGCGAAAACGGAACTCGGGGAGGCCATGCACTGGCTCCATTGCTGCTGGCAGAGGGCAACAGAAGGCTGTTGCAGCCAAAAACGGACACTGGAAAAGTCAAGTGTAGCCCTCCCAGCTCTGTTTTTAATCACAGAGACACCACGAGCCGGTCCTTCGCTGTTTCCAGGACAACCCCATGGGCCAGATCTAAACACCACGTGTTCGGCCTGGGGGCCTTGAGTTTGACACCTCTGTCTTAGAAGCTTCATTGTCTAATATACTGTTTCATAGAACTTTTTTTAAAATCTGGAATGGGTGAAATCCACTTAAGAGAATACAAAGTCCACACTTGTTTTCTTCAATTTCTTGTCCTTCTCTAGCTGGGTAGTAGCTGAAGCAATGGAAGGAAATGAGTTAAATCAAATTAATTATAAAAGTAATTTACTAATTCTTGAGATGTCCTCAACTATACTAGATCTAGTAGTAGATCTAGAAGTCTCTGTTGTCAGTTAACACCAATATATGATAACAATTTGGCCCTCTACTATGCTTGAACCACCTGGAAAATGGGAAAACGATAAGACAACAGTGTACACACATGCAAGTGTGCATATTGTGTACCTGGTGTTACACAAAGCAGTCCTATTCTAGAACAGAAAGCTTTCTGTCTCATTATTGGGAGACCTTTCATTATACTTCCCTACACAAAATATTCAGATTCATTCATTTAAAGTTGGTTGCAGATGAGGAAACCTGGTTGGTTGGGCAAAAAAGCTTTTTATCTTATTGTAATGCTTATACACCCAGCCTTCCTGTAACTCTTAAATTGTCAATTCTGGGGTTCCCCAAGATGTCATTTCAAAAGAGGTAAATTGTACTTCAGTCCTCCAGTATATACAGTGATATTTGATGTTCTAATGTCAATTTTAATTCTAATGTACATTTTATTTCCCCCCCCTAGGTATTATTGGAAATGCTGCTACTTGAATTGTGTCCTGAACTGCGAATTCATTTAGGGAAGGTTAAAGCAGCTCAGGTTTGAATGTTCAGATGAATTAGTAAGAAGAATGTCTGTTCGTAATAATAGACATTAAACATTTCCCTCTTTTCCATAGAGGGTTGACTGAAAACTTCTGAGGATTTGTATATTTTTCTTCATTTTTTTTAGATTGACACAAAGCAAAGCAAAGCAGATTTGAAAAGAACAGAAGATAGGGTAGAATGCCAGCAATGTGTAGTTTCTGGCTTTTATTTAACTTGTTATATGAATAAATCTCTTTGAGATACAGATTGAAATGTGAATGTTAATATAAGGTATATGAAATATAAAATATTTTAAACATTTACAAAAGGCATTTTGCTTTAGTGATATCTTAATGGATGTTGTACAGTTATTTTTTTGCTGAGGATACTGACTGTTCCTCTATTTTCTTGTGTATTGATGAGCCTTGTTGTGCAATATAGGTAAAGATACTGTGTAAATTTTACTGCTTTTATTTTTACCAAAGATTTTCCATAGTTTGCAGCCTTTGTAAGCAATAAATTATAAAAGTAGAGTGCACTGCTTCATAATTACATCTCTCATTGAAAGTTGGAGTGCTGTTTCAGAGAACTGTATTTGTTTGAATACAACCACCAAAATTTAATGTTATTTTGAAATACATTACGAATGAATCAGCCTTAAGCAGGATATAAAAATCTTATCAGCCTAATAAACTGAAGTGCAGTTAAATCACTCAGCCCATTTTGATGTTCTCCAGGGATGTTTTCTGAAAAGTATCTCTTTTAAAAGGGCTATTACACCCTTATTTAATTTTATGTCAAGATTACCAGTTTAGCCATTTAAAGAACAGATAAGAGAGCTGTTAAGTTGTTGTTAGAGTAGCAGTTGTATATTCTCAACTTAATTTATTAATGTGTCATACTAAAAAAAATTACAGTATTTTCAGATTATGTATGTCTCAAAGGCAATAGGTGCAAAGAAAAGATCCACAATCCAGAAAGTATGGGACAAGTTGATCTTTTTATATTTGTTTTTATTAAATCCTAATGATTCACACATTAAGCAAATGAACTTGTTCTTTTTAACAGCAATGAACCTTATGCTATGATTTTAAATACACAGGTGTGTTGCAATGCATATTATGGTAATTAATAATCCAATGCATAAAGGCCTGAATTATAATCAACTTTTCTTCTGCAATGTATTATCTATATATTACCATTGGTAACTTGTGTCTACCAGGAATTTCATTGCTTACTGATTTCAAGTAATTATTCAAATAGACATGGTCTAATAGTAAAGATCAATTTAACTATATACAAAAAAAAACCCAAATAATTTTTCAGCAACTATGGAAGAATTATTTAGAAAGTCAGGGCTTTCAAAGGATGTTTTAAATTTATTTCTTAAAATTAGTTATACATGTGGACACTGCTAATTCAGTGTTCTCAATGTTCTTTCTAATGCGCAATGAAATGTGTCTGTGTGTGTGTATATATGTATGTATATATAATATAATATAATATAATATAATATAATATAATATAATATAATATAAT